CTGTCCCACTCTCCTTGCCATGAAACCAGGCTCCTGGGCAGAGCCTCTGGGCTCCTTACACTAAAGCTCCCTCTGATCCCCTCCTCCTGATGCCTGTCTCTGTCCTAGGTGTCACTGTGTGGGAGCTGATGACTTTTGGGGCCAAACCCTATGATGGGATCCCAGCCCGGGAGATCCCTGACCTACTGGAGAAAGGGGAGCGGCTGCCCCAGCCTCCCATCTGCACCATTGATGTCTACATGATCATGGTCAAATGTGTGTAGTGGGGCTGTGCTGGCTGCATGGAGGAAGGGTGGGAAGTCCTGGGTGGAGGGGACCAAAAGCAGCATGTGAATGGACCTAGGAGCCCTGGTGTACTTGAAGGAGACTCAAAACTATCTGGTATCCTATTCACAGTGGAAGTTCTGAGTGCTATAAAGGAAGAGCTAGCCAAAGACATATGCAAAATTAAAAAGGAAGGAAACCAGTAGAAATGCCCCAAGGTTCTGCTTCTCTACCATGTGAGGGGCGTTGGGCTTCTTTGGGAGTCGTCTAGGTCAGAGTGGAGAGGGGGTGGGAGAAGAGACGCAGCTAGGGAGGGCTGAATGAGAGCCATGTGTGTTGGGGGGAGGCTGCATGATGAGCTTCCTCACACCCCAGGTTGGATGATCGACTCTGAATGTCGGCCAAGATTCCGGGAGCTGGTGGCTGAATTCTCCCGTATGGCCAGGGATCCCCAGCGCTTTGTGGTCATCCAGGTACTGGGTGTTCCTGCCTCTCCCTACCTCTGACGAAGAGCTCCCTCCTTTCCACAGAGGGGAAAAAAGGCACAGGAGGCCTGGGCGCCGGGCTTTCCTGGGAGGCCATGCTCTGGGTTGGTGAGGAGCTGCACCCTCTCTCCTTCCTCCCTAGAATGAGGACTTGGGTCCAGCCAGCCCCTTGGACAGCACCTTTTACCGCTCGCTGCTGGAGGATGATGACATGGGGGACTTGGTGGATGCTGAGGAGTATCTGGTACCCCAACAGGGCTTCTTCTGCCCAGACCCTGCCCCAGGTGCTGGGGGCACAGCTCACCGCAGGCACCGAAGCTCATCCACCAGGGTCAGTGCCCTTGGTCCCACTGGTGACTGTTTACCTCTCCCACCCTAATGGACCAGGGTCCTTTTCTCTAATGTTTCCCGACCTTCACCTCTCATGGAGACCTTATTGTCCCCAAGGAGGATTCTTGCTGCATCCCATCCCTTTCTTTCTATCATGACTATCATACCCCAAAAGTGACCTATTTTTCTCCTGTGATACTGTCACCTTCCATAGAGTCTCCCTCCCAGGCCCAGGAATGAACCCCATCGTAACTTTCTCTCTTGTCCCCAGAGTGGTGGTGGTGGTGAGCTGACACTGGGGCTGGAGCCCTCTGAAGAAGACCCCCCAAGGTCTCCTCTGGCCCCCTCAGAAGGGGCTGGCTCTGATGTGTTTGATGGTGACCTGGGAATAGGGGCAGCCAAGGGGTTGCAGAGCCTCCCCACACACGACCCCAACCCTCTACAGCGGTACAGTGAGGACCCCACAGTACCCCTGCCCCCCGAGACTGATGGCTACGTTGCTCCCTTGACCTGCAGCCCCCAGCCTGGTATGGAATCCAAGCTCAAGCTCAGAGATGTGAAGGCGGGGGAGCTGGGGACCTTCAGGCAGGGCTGGCTGGGGGAACAGTGATAGAGGCTGGGATACCTGGTTCTTTTCTTTAACAAGTCCTCTTCTCTTGCCCTTTCAGAATATGTGAACCAGCCAGAGGTTCGGCCACAGCCCCCCTCACCCTTAGAGGGTCCTCTGCCTCCTGTCTGCCCTGCTGGTGCCACTCTGGAAAGACCCAAGACTCTCTCCCCTGGGAAAAATGGGGTTGTCAAAGACGTTTTTGCCTTTGGGGGTACTGTGGAGAACCCTGAGTACTTGGCACCCAGAGGAGGTGCTGCCCCTCAGCCCCATCCTCCTCCTGCCTTCAGCCCAGCCTTTGACAACCTCTATTACTGGGACCAGGACTCATCAGAGCGGGGATCTCCGCCTGGCACCTTTGAAGGGACCCCAACAGCAGAGAACCCTGAGTACCTGGGCCTGGATGTGCCAGTGTGAGCCAGGGCCTAGTCTGCTGAGGCCCTGTTGTGCTCTCAGGGAGTGGGAAGGCCTGACTTGGGCCATGTCGTCATGAAACCCTCTGACCATGTGTAGAAGAAACTGCCATGCCAGGAATGTGTCCTAAGGAACCTTCCTTCCTGTTTGAATTCCCCAGGCAGCTGAGAGGGACCCAGCCTGGTTGGACATGGAGGCAGCACTGGGGATTTTGGAGCCCTGCCCCACCAGACTTTAGGGTCCAATGGATATCAAGGCCACAGTCTCCTCACCAGAGGCTGTGACCCAGCCTGGCCCTCTTCTTCCAGATCTTTCCTACTGAAGAATCAAGAACAAGAGAGAAGCTGGCCCTAGGAGGGAAGAGGCCCCAAGGGAATCTCTGAGAACAAGACACTGGGAGACTGTCCCTGAGACCTAGTGCTATGCTCCAGGAGGAAGGGAGCTGTACTAGCGTCCAGACCAATCCTTGTACAGAGTGCTTTTTTGTTATGTTTTTACTTGTTTTTCCCCCCTTCAGTACCAAGAATCGAACACAGGTCCTGGCACATGCTAGGCAAGCACTCTACCACCGAGCTATACCCCAGCCCTTGTTTTTACTTGTTTTTTAAAGATGAATTAAGGAACCAGAGGGAGAGTGGGTGTTGTGTGGAAAGGGGAGGGAGGTGTCCCTGGGGTTTGGGGAAAGATGTCTCTTCTCCATTTCATTTGCAAATAGATTTTGGAAAAGAGCTGAGCCCCAGCCTGTGTCTGGGAGTGAATCTATGCTCAACTCTATTGTTCACCTTATAGGCAACTCTCTTTCAAGAGTGAGTGGGAAGAATCTTCCCTAAGCTTGAATGGCTTGGGTTTGGGTTGGGGGGGGATTGGGAAGTTAGGAAACTCATCCAAGAGCCCTTTGACAACCAGATAATTCTTGTTTGAACAAACTCATTCCTAAGGCTATCTACTAGACTAAGGTCATTTCCTCCCTGTGGGGAAGGGGAGTTGGGGGTAGGAAGGGGAAAGAAGTGGGAGTGTCTACTGTGTGGCTCTTTTTCTTTGCTGTTGGCTAAAAAAGGGGTTTATTGAACCAAGAAGCAGTTGTTCAGCAAAAGCCCACGCATCAGGTAGTGTCAAGGCCAGGCTGACCTTTGCCCCCCACCCCTAACCCTAGAATGGACACATAAACACACACTAGTTGGCACAAGTGTTCATAGTGCCTCTTTATTGCCAACTGCTGACACTGCCCAGGGCTTGGGGAATAAATTAGATCTACTGTGGCATCTGACAGGTATTGCCAAGTTGGGGAGGAGACCGGGCTTTTGTGGGCACTGATTCTGAGAAGCGGGTATTAGGGTGGATGTGAAATATCCACAGAGAGCATCCCTTTCTTACACCCAAGACCACAGAAGTTTCTATTCCCTTCTGTTGCCCAAAGGGGCAAAGTGGAGGCCAGGGCCTCTTAGCTACCAGGAGCTAAGTGAGGGGAAAGAGGCAGGGGTTGTTCCCAGTAGGACCAAAGGAAACCAAGGTCTGGATCCCAGAACACAGCAGGAACCCAGAACTGTGCAGTCACAGGATGATGCATGGAGGACGGCTGTTGGTGATCTTTTCTAAGGGTTCTCCATTACTGGCTCTTCGGATGGCCTCAATGAGCTAGAGAGTAGAGATGTGGAATAGGACGATGCACTCATGGGGCAGGATGCCCCAGGGTCCTCCCAAGACTACAAATACTCACATCTTTCTCATAAGGAAAGCCCCCATTCTCCAGCTTGGAGAACACCAGCTGTCCATTGATCTCAATCTCAAAGGCTCCTGGTATGAAATAAAGGCATGAATGAATGGTATGCTGAGAACAGGCAAAAAGTCAGGGGAGACCCTCCACATTCCTTAGACTCCTCACAGGCTTCTTCATGTTCCCCCATCAGAGACATTTGTAGCTCCTTAATCCAATCCTCAACTGGGTGTCAACTCAATGGAACCTAGAGGAAGCCTCAACTGTGTGTCCTTTCACCACTTAATGAAGGGCTCCCTACACTCCAAAGCCACACTATTGCAGTCTAACAGGTTACTCCTTATAGGCCTCATCCGTGGCCCCCTCACCTATGCAAGCAGACACATGGTGGTTGGACATTTTTACGATGTGCAAAACACTGCTGGGCACTTCACATAAAGCAGTCAATGTCAGAGCTAGAAAGTAGGAGAGCTGGGGTTTAGAACACAGACTGACTCAGCAGGTGTTCTTCGGACCTCACCTGTCCCCCCCAATCGCGACTCAATCTCAATGCCCGGATACTCTTCCTTCACAGCACTCGCCAGCTCGAGGTACGTCGCTTCGAAGCCGCAGGGTTCACTGGGGAGAAGAGACATAGGGTGGACTGGGGTTTCGGGGGAGGGGCTTCCCATGGACCCACCTCCGTCCGGCCTCGGGGACAGAGAGGGGCCTTTCCAGCCGGACTGCTCACCAGTATTCCACCACGATGCGGACCCCACTGCCCGGTTCGACCTCCCCAGGAGGGGGCGCTACGGACACTTGCCCCGAATCCCCGCTCATCGCTGCCGGCTCTGCTCAGGCCGCTGCTTCCGGGTGTGACGCGATGCCGCGAGCACGTGACGGGGCGTGGCCGCGGGGCGTGGCGGGACCGCGCTTTGCGTCTGGGCGCCCCTTGCGGGCTACGGCTTGTGCTACGTGCAGGTTCTGTACTGCGGCGCGCAGAACTGGAGTCCCTGGGCCCTCGAGTAGGGGTCTTGCCCCGCACCAAGGGTCCGCCGGACTTCATGGCCCTGCTTAATCTGATGAATTTAGGCTGCAAAGCGCTTTCCAGTTTATAAAAGGGCAAGCATTCTGGGGATGGAGATGGAGTGACTGATGGTTGGTAATAGTTGCCATTTTTCGCTGGTCTGCTGCTGGCATTTTAAAACGTCCCATGGTCACACGCTCAAGTTCTTTGGACTTTGAAGCACTAACGCGGTTCTTTTTCCAATATTTTGCGACTGCCTCTTTCCTTCACTTCGGGAGCGGGAAGGTGCCAGCTTCTGGGTCTATGTCTCCATCACTTGCACCCAGTTCCTGCACATCCCCTGTCTCATTCCGGCTCCTCACTAGAGGATTGGCATCATCTTTTCCATTTTGCAACTTGAGAAGCGGAGGCTGCCTAAGTCCTGGCTGCCTCTTCCCCTCTCTGGAGCATCATGATAGTATCCTAGCAAGTCACCCACTTCAGTGTCCCTTTAAACTGCCCCCCCACCCCGCTTTCGCTTTTTAAACAATTCAGTGATTTGTATGGTTGTGCAACTATTGCCACAGTCCAGTTACAAAATATTTCCATCAGCCTAATAAGGTCCCCTCTGCTTGTTTGCCATAATTTCAGTTCCCAACTCCAGTCATAGGCAACCACTAATCTGCTTTCTAACTTTATAAACTTCCCTTTCCTGGATATTTCTTACGAAGCTAATCATACAATATGTGGTCTTTTGCTTCTGGCTTCTTTCACGCTGTAAAATATTTATCAAGGATCATCATCCTACACGCAGTAGGTCCTTTTCCACTGCTGAAAAGTATTCCATTCCATGGATGAAGTACATTTTATTTATTTCCCAGTTGATGGACATTTGCGTTTCCAGTCTGTTTTGAATAATGCTCCTATAAATATCATGCAGGTGTGTTTGTATGGATGTGTATTTTCATTTTATTTCATTTCCTAGGAGTAGAATTACTGGATTCTATGGTTAAGCTTATGTTTAAGTTTTTAAGAAATTGCCAAACTGTTTTTCAAAGTGGCTGTACCACTTTACATTACCACCACCAATACAATATACAAGGATTTTTTCTCTATATCCTCATCAATACTTGTCTGTCTCTTTGACTAACTATTTTAGTGAGTGAGAGGTGGTATATTACTGTGGTTTTAATTTGCATTTCTAATCTTTTTGTGCAATTATTAACCATGCATATATATTATTTGAAGAAATATCTATTCAGATATTTTGCCCATTTTTAATTGGGTTACTTATCTCTTTATTTTTGACATGTAAGATATATATATATATATCTTACCAGGGATTGAAAAAATATATATATATATGGGGGTACCAGGGATTGAACCCAGGGGCCCTTTTTAATTTTTATTTTGAAACTGGGTCTCACTAAGTTGTGTAGGACCTCATTAAGTTTCTGAGGCTGGTCTTGAATTTGTGATCCTCCTGCCTCAGCATCCCTAGCTGCTGGGATTGCAGGTGTGCACCACCACACCAGTTTCTTTATATATTTTTGATACAAAGTCTTTAATGAGATAACTTGATTTTCTGGTAGTTTCTCCAAGTCTTTGACTAGCTAGCTTCCCTATCTCATCCTTATGCTGGGGATCAAACTCAGAGCCTCACTTATGCTACACAAGCATTGTGCAACTGAGCTTCACCCCAACCCTTTTTACCCCACATGATGTTTTTTCTTTCTTTCTTTCTTTTTTTAATGATGTTTTTAAAAAGTGCAATATTTTCTTTTTTTGGAACTGGGGGATTGGACAGAGGGGTACTCAACATTGGGCTACATGCTCACCCTCCCTTTTTTGAGACAAGTTCTCATTTTATCTAGATAAAATGGCATCATGCTTCAGCTCTTACATTTAGGTGTATGGTATATTTAGAATTAACACTTGTGTATCCGGTGAGATAAATATATCTAATTCATCTCTTGGCATATGGTTATTCAATTGCCACAGCACTATTTATTGAAAAGACTCTTTTATAGCCAGGTGCAGTGGCATATGCCTATAGTCCCAACCACTGAGGAAACTAAGGCAGGAGGATACCTTGAGTTCAAGATTAGCCTGGGCAATACAGCAAGACTCTGTCTCAAAAAAAGAAAAGTTAAAAAAAAAATAAAAGGATAGGGGCTGAAGCAGGGTAGCTCAGTGACAGAGCAGTTACCTAGCACCCGCAGGCCCTGGGTTCCAGCCCCATCATTTTCCTCCCCCAAAGACTATCTCTTCCCCTATCAAATTGTCTTGGCACCTTTGCCAAATATCTATTGGCCAGGCACGGATTGTGGCACACGCCTGTAATCCCAGC